TCCAATCCAATAAACATCAATTGAACACGATTGATATAAGATACAGATGCACATATAAGGAGGAATGTTCCATAACCTCAAGATGTTTAATAGTTATATATGACATATATATTGCTAATTATAAGTTAAAAAGAAAGAACACATTTCTGAAGTCAGGTATAAGCAGAAGACTAATAATTTTTCTTAGATTGCGGATGGCCTTATGAAAAAAAACTTTTCTTTTTAAATGTTTAAGGATCAGTAGGCTTAAGGAGGTAGCATGTGCAAAGGACATGGGGTAACGAAACACTCTTTGTGTTCAGAAAAATGGCTTGTACGACTAGAGTGAAGAGCCACTGTGAGTCTGGATAAGTTGACTAGAACCACTGGCCGAGGACCCTGAATGCTGGGCTGTAAAGTTTTTGGCTTCACGAAATAAACAGTGGAGAATAGTTGAAGATTTTGAGCTAGCATAAGCTTTACTCTTTTTTTTTTTTTTTTTTTTTTTGAGGCAGAGTCTCACTCTGTCACCCAGGATGGAGTGCAGTGGCGCAATCTCGGCTCACTGCAAACTCTGCCTCCAGGATTCAAGTGATTCTCATGCCTCAGATTCCCAAGTAGCTGGGATTACAAGTGTGCACCACCAGTTAGCACACCTGATTAATTTTTTTGTCTTTTTAGTAGAAACGTGGTTTTGCCTAGTTCTACTTGAACTAGGAGTTCAAGCTGTTCTCGAACTCCTAGTTTCAGGTGATCCGCCCACCTTGGCCTCCCAAATTGCTGGGATTACAGGCAAGAGGCACCGTGCCTGGCCAACACAGGCTTTACTCTTCTTTCCTTGTCTACTGACTAGCCAAGTGATCCTTTGGAAATAATCAAACTCTCTATAGCTTCTCATGTCACTCAGAATGAAACTAAAGCTCTCACCATAGCCCCGCTACATTTCTGATCACATGACCTATCCTGCCTAATTTTACTTAGGGTAAATAGAAGCATGACATTGATAGGCAAGTAAAAGCTTAGCAGAGATGCTTCAACAGGTCTGGCCACCCCGGAGGCTCAACTAGATGTCTCCTAAGGAATTCAGGCTTCTAGTTTGGACCTATGGGTTCACCTATGCTGACTGTTTTGTGACAAGAGTATGATGTTATCAAGTTCAGTACATATTGTCTTCCTATATTATCCTGCTAATGATCTGTCTTCTTGCTCAAAATCCTTAAGGGAAGTAGCCTGACCTGTACAGGTCAAGCTATAATGAGCCTGAAACTAAAAGGAGAAGAAAGATTCAGCAAAATATGAGGGGGGAAGACAATATTCTCTGAAAAAATAAGTCAAGCTATTTCGTCTCCTTATAGTTTGTGGTAACAGTGGGTGAAATGGATGTGATGCACAAATGTTTACTGAACACCTATTAAGTACCAAACTGTGTGTTCAGTATCAGAGATAAAATATATATATTTTATTTATATATATTTATCTAGCTACTTGGGAGGCTGAGGCTGGAAAATCGCTTGCACCTGGGAGGCGGAGGTCGTAGTGAGCTGAGATTGCGCCACTGCACTCCAGCCTGGGTGACAAAGCAAGACTCTGTCTCAAAAAAAAAAAAAAAAAAGAGAGAGAGAGAGAGAGATGTGCACTAAAATATGTATATCATTGCATTTTGCAAAAAATAATTGTATTTGTAACTGTTGCCTGGATTACTTATCTGCCATGAACCCCTAGGGAGTCCTCCCAGGTTTGTATGTTATCCTTAAAGCTCCACATATCCTAATGTTCTAGGTTTACCTATTTATTCATATCCTATTTATTTATTTATTCATATCCTATTTATTTATTAAGAGACGTTTGGGTTTTATTCATCTTTGCCTATGTGAGGCTTAATTCAACCTGATGAACATAATAGATATTCAGTATATAGTTAAGGAATATGCCTGATGACATATAACTTGACATTAGGTATCTGACCTCACATTATGGTGACTAACTTTGCTCTTTGTGTTTTGGCCTACTGATTATTCACAATTACTCCACAGTCTATTTTCTGTAACAATTGCAAGCTAACAATGCATCAGCCAGTTTCTAGTTTATTTAAGGACTAATATAATTATTATATTCACAAACAACAAAAAAGTATATAAATTTGTGGCATCAGTGAAAAAATATATGCCATTTTAATTGTAAAGTAATAAAGTTAAAAGATACTGTTGGTAATATCTTTGTTATGTTTAAGACAATAGGAGGCTGGGTGGAAAAAGATACAGCTACACTGGGGAAGGCAGATGACAAGAAGCAGTATATATGGAAATATAGAATTAAGTCATAAAAGAATCATACCTATCTTATTAATTGCTACATTCCCAGCACTTAGAAGAGTGCTTGGTACCTAGTTCAATTAAAACTTGCTGAATGAATGAATGGACGTATATTACTATAGTACATTTTCTAGCCTATAATTATGTGGCTTGCTTGAGAAGAGATACCATTTCATGGGATAGAAATACTCATTTTGATTGGGACCATTCATTTGATTGAGTCATTTACTTAGACATTTCTTGAGCATCTACTATATATCACACCTATGTCTGGAAACACAGAGATGAATAAGACATGACCTCGAAGAGTTTAAGTCTGTTGGAAGAAATGAATACGTAACAAATATTTGCAATGCAGTGTGATAGTTGTATAATATATGGTATATATTTCATGGTCTCATGACACAGAAGGGATAATCACCTCCGTTTGTTGAAGAAAGAGTGGGGATCTAGGAAACATGGCCCAAAAATGCATTTTTAAAGATAGATAAGGAGTTTTTAGGGGTCTTGAAAGTCTACTCATTTTTTTTTTCTGAGATGGAGTCTCCCTGTCACCAGGCTGGAGTGCAGTTGTGCAATCTTGGTTTACTGCAGCCTCCGCCTCCGGGGTTCAAGCGATTCCCCTGCCTCAGCCTCCCAAGTAGCTAGGACTACAAGTGTGTGCCACCTTGCCCAGCTAATTTTGTATATTTAGTAGAGATGGGACCTCATCATATTGGCCTGGATGGTCTCATCTTGATCTCTTGACCTCATGATCTGCCCACCTCAGCCTCCCAAAGTACTAGGATTACAGGTATAAGCTGCCGTGCCTGGGCAGTAGTCCACTCATTTAATGTTACTACTTAATTTGTCATGATAACAAAAATAATTTACCTTTGCTTTTTATGCTTAGCTTTTAAATTTTATTTCTTATATATGAAACCCTGTATATTCTTTGTATGTTCTTGGTTTTTTACTATTATACAAGTTTTATTACATGCAACATTCTTGGAAACCAACAACTCTACCATAACTATTATTGAGAAGGTCATATACTAAATAAAGATTTATTTATATTTTTAATATATTTTTCTAGATCTTGAAAAAGGGAAAATAAGGAGTTCCATGGTTTTAAATCAGACTTCTTATATATCAAAAATTGAAAAGCTGTCTGTTCAACAAAAGGCTTACTTTCCTTTTTTTATTTTTTAAAAAAACTCATTTGTAATTACATAGATGTATTAAATAGCTAATTTTGCTCTCTATTTATTAAAACATCATAGTCTCACTGCTCAAATCCCATTCACCTGGAATCAATAATTGCACTGTCAAAGAAACTTCCCACTGCAGGGACCCATGTATCTTTCATCCCCTATAATTTCTTGGAAGTGTAAACAACACAATTTATTCTTCTTGTTACATAGTAATATAGTCATTTGTGAATGTTTCATTAAAACTATCTGCTGGTAATTCAAACTCAGTGTACTAAACCTGCTCCTGGATTTGAGTTAATACATTTAGAAATGGAGTAGTCGATTTCTTTACTACATTATTCAATTTCTACTAGGAAACAGTGCTTGAAATCCAGGTTTCATTAAGAAAAGGTGGTTAAAATATGTTGGCGGGCTTTTTGTTATTATTATTATTATGGTAAGTGAGCATCAGTCTCTAACAAGTCCAAGAACGACTGTGACATTTAATTTCTGGAACACAATATAATTCACATACAAGTAGGAAACTATCCTTTCATAAAACAAAGTGGAACCCATTCAGAACACTCCTACAATATCCCAAACTTGATGAATCTTCAGGTATTCAGTGAAAATTCAACATGACTGTTAGCCAAGTACCATGTGAACTTCTCCATATATAAAACTGTAATCTTTCTCATGTACAAATGTAGTCATACATTCAACTAAAACTCCAAATTCTTCAAAATATCTTTCAGCATATAAACCTAGTCCCCTATTCATTACAGTAGAGGTCATTCTACCTGTCCAGAGGTCTAGTTTCAATTCCCTCCACTTCAGGCCTCAAACTTCATGGTCCAGCAAGACTAAATCTACCATTTATATTCCACACTATACATCTTGCTCTGTCCTTTTCTCATGGCTTTGAATATGTTGTTTCTTCTACGCACATGGTCATCTTTGGTAAAACTGCATTTGAAATCTCACTTGCCCAGGGTAATTTAATGCACAATTTTTCTGTATTAGCAAAGTATGCACATGCAACTCTAATATTCCTAGGATTGTATTATAATTATTTAAAGATCTTTTCTCACCAAAAAAGGGCCTTGGAAGGGACTCGTGTTTTTCTAGCATTTACTACAGTATTTACCTAATAAAATGAAGTGACAAATATATGCATAAATGAATATTGTCTACTAATATAAATATTTACAATACATACAAGAGAAATAATAATGTTAGTGGCTTTTCAGTACTTAGCATGTGTTTAGTTGATGTAATACACTGTAATTCTCACCACAGTCCTGAGAGATGGAATATATTATTTCTGTTATTTTTATTTTGCCCTTGAAAACTGAAGCTCTGAGAAGTTAGCCACATACCTCACACATTGTCATATAGCAGAATCAGATATGAACTTAAGTCTGTCTGACTCCAATGTCAGTGCTTTCCCTAATGCACCCTGCTACCTTTTGATTATTATCAAGATCCTGGAAGACACAAATTAGATTCTGATTTAATCTTTTCCATTTCTTTCCAGCTCCAAGTACAGCCCAGTATGGAATTACCGGGAGCGCTGATGTTCTTTTCTCCTGCTGGTACCTTGTGTTGACACTGTCCTCTTTCACCAGCATATTCTACCTGAAGAATGCCATTCTACAATAAATTTAAAGACCCATAAAAGGCTTTTAAGGATTCTCTGAAAGTGCTGATGGCTGGATCCAATCTGGTACAGTTTGTTAAAAGCAGCGTGGGATATAATCAGCAGTGCTTACATGGGGATGATCGCCTTCTGTAGAATTGCTCATTATGTAAATACTTTAATTCTACTCTTTTTTGATTAGCTACATTACCTTGTGAAGCAGTACACATTGTCCTTTTTTTAAGACGTGAAAGCTCTGAAATTACTTTTAGAGGATATTAATTGTGATTTCATGTTTGTAATCTACAACTTTTCAAAAGCATTCAGTCATGGTCTGCTAGGTTGCAGGCTGTAGTTTACAAAAATGAATATTGCAGTGAATATGTGATTCTTTAAGGCTGCAATACAAGCATTCAGTTCCCTGTTTCAATAAGAGTCAATCCACATTTACAAAGATGCATTTTTTTCTTTTTTGATAAAAAAGCAAATAATATTGCCTTCAGACTTTTTCTTCAAAATATAACACATATCTAGATTTTTCTGCTCGCATGATATTCAGGTTTCAGGAATGAGCCTTGTAATATAACTGGCTGTGCAGCTCGGCTTCTCTTTCCTGTAAGTTCAGCATGGGTGTGCCTTCATCAAATAATATTTTCCTCTTTGTCTCCAACTAATATAAAATGTTTTGCTAAATCTTACAAACTGAAAGCAAAAATAAACCAGAATGATAAAGTTAAACCATATACTATCTCTAAGTAATGAAGGAGCTATTGGACTGTAAAAATCTTTTCCTGAACTGACAGTGGGGTTTGAGAATTTTGTCCCATGCTAACTCAGTTCTTGTGATGAGAAACAATTTAATAACAGTATAGAAAATATACCATATGGTTTCTTTAGTTGTAGCTAAATGTTGGACCCACTGTGGAAAATCATTTCCTTTAAAATGACAGCACAGTCCACTCAAGGGATTGCCTAGCAATACAGCATCTTTTCCTTTCACTATTGCAAGCCCAAAATTTTAAGATGATTTGTCAGAAAGGGCACAAAGTCCTATCAGCTAATATTACATGAGTTGGTAAGTGCTCATCAATAATTTTGTTTTGTGGCCGGTAAGTTAGTATGACAGAGGCAGTGCTCCTGTGGACAGGAGCATTTTGCATATTTTCCACCTGAAAATAACACTCAATTGATAGTCTAGAATGCATGTTATATGTTTTAAAAGTTCCAAAATATGTTATAACAAACATTCTATATTGGTATATAGCAGACCAATCTCTAAAATTAGCTAATTCTTCAATAAAATCTTTCTATATGGCCATTTCAGCTCAAACGAGTAAAACCAAAAGGAGACCATCCTTTATTTTTTCTTACATGATATATGTGAGATGTGATCAAATGAAGACAAGACACCTGTGATAAGATTATCTTAGGATATACTAATTATCAAATTATTGTGAATGTTAATTATTTCTACCATAAAGAATGAAAACTACATTTTGGAAGGAAAATGCTGTTACTGTAGGTAATACATTACAGGAATAGTTTGATGGTTTCACTCTTTACTAAAGAAAGACCATCATTTTGAAAGCCATTTTACAGGTTTGATGAGGTTACCAATTTCACTACATCTAGATTTCTACAAATAGTCCCCTTGTACAAGTCATAACACAAAGATCCTACAATAAAATTAGATATAATAAATTTTGTGGTGCTTATACATATTTGAGATATCTAGTCAGTTGCCCTGGAGGGATGGCTTAAAACCTGTGATTTATTTTATCTTCAAGTAAAACTTAGTCCCAAAATATACCATAAATCAATTTTAATTAGAAAAATGAATCTTAAATGAACGGACATAAGTATACACTCTTTCCATAAAATGGCAATAATAAGGCATAAAGCTATTAAATCTACTAACTGTAATAAATGGCTGACATTATTTTGATATATTAAAAAGAGTTTTTAGAACAAATATGGCACTTAATTTTATTATTTATTTGCTCTTAAAAATATTTTTTGTGGAATTGGAGAATAAACTACAAAATATTATTTTGTATTGCAGCTTTAAAGTGGCACACTCCATAATAATCTACTTCCTAGAAATAGTGGTGCTACCACAAAAGTGTTAACCATCAGTACCATTGTTTGGGAGAAAGAAACAGATCAAGAATGCATATTATTCAGTGACCGCTTTCCTAGAGTTAAAATACCTCCTCTTTGTAAGGTTTGTAGGTAAATTGAGGTTAAACTATGGATGAACCAAATAATTAGTTCAAAGTGTTGTCATGATTCCGAATTTGTGGAGTCTGGTGTTTTTACCATAGAATGTGACAGAAGTACGGTCATAGCTCAGTAGCTATATGTATTTGCCTTTATGTTAGAAGAGACTTTCTTGAGTGACATTTTTAAATAGAGGAGGTATTCACTATGTTTTTCTGTATCACAGCAGCATTCCTAGTCCTTAGGCCCCGGACAGAGTGAAACCATGAGTATTTATGAGTTCAATATTGTCAAATAAGGCTACAGTATTTGCTTTTTTGTGTGAATGTATTGCATATAATGTTCAAGTAGATGATTTTACATTTATGGACATATAAAATGTCTGATTACTCCATTTTATCAGTCCTGACTGTACAAGATTGTTGCAATTTCAGAATAGCAATTTTATAAATTGATTTATCTTTTACTCTATAATAATTTTTGTTAGCTATTCATTTCAGGATTATATTTTCTACAGGTTCCATTTGTGGGACTCCTTTTGTTTTCCCTAATTTTTTTTTTAAAGAAGAAGGAAAGAAAAATAAGTAGCAGCTGAAAAATGAAAATGGAGAGAGAAAAAGAATGAAAAGGAAAGGAAATAAAGACAGAAAAAAGGAAGGATGGAAGGAGTGAAGGAAGGAAGGGAGGAAGGGGAGAAGGAAGAGAAAGGATGAGAGGGAAGGTAGAATCAGAATATTAGGGTAGTTAACTTACACATTTGCATTCTTAGTTTAACTGCAAGTGGTGTAATTATGTTTTACAATGATCTCATTTGAAACGTAAGTCCTATTACACCATTAAATTCCTATTATGCGGCAATTATATCATAAAAAGTACTGCCCAAGTTATAGTAATATGGGTGTTTTTGAGACACCAAAGATTTGAGAGAGAGAATTTTAAACTTAAAGCCACTTTTGGGGGGTTTATAACTTAACTGAAAAATTAATGCTTCATCATAACATTTAAGCTATATCTAGAAAGTAGACTGGAGAACTGAGAAAATTACCCAGATAATTCAGGGCAAATAATATATATATATATACAAATACCCCTATGTTTAAAGTCAGAAAACTCTGAAAAACGGAATTATCAATCATCTATAATGACCAAATTTACTGAAAAATTGTTAATTTATCCATTGTGCTTAGCTTTGTAACACAGCCAAAAGTTACCTATTTAATCTTTTCAATAAAAATTGTTTTTTGAAATCCAGAAATGATTAAAAAAGAGGTCAGGTTTTTAACTATTTATTGAAGTATGTGGATGTACAGTATTTCAATAGATATGAATATGAATAAATGGTATGCCTTAAGATTCTTTGAATATGTATTTACTTTAAAGACTGGAAAAGACTCTTCCTGTCTTTTAGTAAAACATCCATATTTCATAACCTGATGTAAAATATGTTGTACTGTTTCCAATAGGTGAATATAAACTCGGTTTATCAATTAAAATATGTATTTGACTCATTTTAAAACTCTATTAGTTTAAGAGAAAGAAGGAAGAAATTACAATTTGAAGATATTTCTGCTATTCTCTTCATTTCTTGTATTACACTCATCTTTATGCTTACTCTAAGTAGTACAGGGTAAAAAATTTAGATGCTACAGTTTAAAAGGACTCCACACTATATTCTTTCTTGCTGTTGCTGATTCCTAAAAGGTTTGATAAACTAAACTAAAAATAAATTTTCTGCAAATATCTTATTATTAATTGTTTAGAACATTTATCTGATAAAATACAGCAGAGTTAGCAACAGAAATTGGTGATAAAATCCTGATGATCTTACAGGCTAACCAACTGAAAATTCAAATGCTTGTAAGAGTCAGGGAAAGTATAATTTCTTAAGACAGCTGGGTATAAAACGATGGGCACCTGAAGGCATTCAGATACAATTTCCTTAAAAATACCTTGGTTTCCAAGCAAAACATGTTATTTGACTGAGAAACTTTAGTTTGTAAATACCAAACCATCATAAACAAATCAGATCTCACACCAAATGAATTATTTAAGCCCTCTTCTCCATATCTGTTCATCTATGATAATCAACTGAATTAATGAGAACAATGTGATAGATGAAACAACAAACCATTAAAAAATGTATGCTTGGTTTTATAAGCTATTTAAAAATGTAGGTAGCACTGCTATTCTGAGAAAACCATATACACCAAAGCCCTCCCTCCACAAAAAAACTGGAAACATACTAGTAAATGTCTGATTTCCCCACAACTTCATTATTTCTTCCCTTTTTAACATGTCTTATTTATCTTGAATAAATTACATAACAGAAACAGAAGCACCAAGTTTTAGACCTAAAAAGCTAGCACACAAAAATCCAGAATTAGTTTCCCTTTCAACAGAATAGGTCAAAACGTAGCTGCTTCAAAGCCACATCTAGGTATACAAAAAATAATTATTCACTTTAACCTGCCAGTCAGAAATGTAAGAATTTGTTAAGATAATTATCCATGATAATTCACTCAAGTTAGAGGAATTTGATCCAAATACCAGTCAATGTACTCCCTCTGAACTCTCCAAGTACACACCTTTACATTTACAAGCACCATTTTTATAGTAATTCCCAAACTTACTAAAAAATATTTAAGAATTGATATCACTAGTGGAAAGAGAGCAATTTAGCAAACAAATGTTTTCCATTATTCCTAGAAAGAAAGAAAAGAGGAACACATTTCATTCTTCTCCCTAGAAGCTCTACCCACACTCTTCCTAAGCCTAGACCAATCTCTTCCAGGGTCTTCCTTCAGTCTAAGAAACATGCTTCATCTCAGAGACAAATGTGGCAACTATAGTTTTCCCCAAAGGGTCACAACTACCACTACCTTGCATTTTACAATGGAGCACTTTTGCAAGTGTTGCTATTATGGTTTTCTCGACACTTTCAAATATTTAAAGGAGAAAATATTATTATTATCATGTATTGATGATGAAAAGGGGATTCAGAAATTTGAAGTCACTTGCTGGAGATTATACTTCATCTGAGTGGCAGATCTGAGCTAAATATGCAATGAAAGATGTTTGCAATTTGTTTCTAGTCCCATTAGACTACCTAGGAAAAAGAAACCCATATAATTACATTGCTGGCTTCATAAACAACTATTTGTATATTTTTATTTATATATTAATATAAGTATAACCACATTTAAAATATAAATACAGATATTTATGATATCCTTGTATTTTCCAGTACCTGCAGAGAATATGAGATTTAAAGCCTAATTAGATTGTACGTGTCATCTAAATCTTTGGAAATGTGAAACTCACAATACAGTTGCCTTTGGACACACAGCCTTGGGTTGTATTAGAACAGTCACACCAAGTGGAGAATCTTGTCATAATCACATGTATCTTATTTTGTGTAGCATTTTGCAAAAGATGTGTCAAGTTTGGGATAATCTACTAAGACTATTTTTCAGACATCTGCAATCAACAGAATTTTGGGGGAAATGGAGATCAGAATACATACATACTTAAAAAATTCACAATAGAATACTGATTTTAATCTGAGTTATGTAGTTTGAGCCCATTTATATTAAAATACTAACATGAACATCTGTTTGTGCTGGGACAGTAGAACAAGAGGAAGATTCTAATTCTAGAAATTAAATTATATGCAACCTAAGAAATACATTTGTATTTTATTTTCAAAATATGACCATAATACAAATCCTATGGATATCACTGCTTAGTTTGGAAAACATAAAAAGCATTAGTTTCATACACTTATGAAATGAATACATTAATTCATTAATGAAGGACCTGTTAAGATATTACAACCAGATTAAAGGATAATCTAAAGAACATACACACATATAGATCAAAACCTTGAAATTAATGTACTAAAGGAGGCAAAACTGACTTCCAGATTGAGGAGGAGAATTCAACAGAATCTTTATTTCACAGAATTTATTTCCATATCTATAGACCAGAAATATTTTGCCTTAGTGTTATTTATTTACAACTTTAAAAAGAGTTTAAATGTAAATGAAAAATGCAGAGCCTCCACAGAATCAAAATTCAGTAACCTGAAAACGTGTGTTCCAAATAATTCATGGTTTGTCATTTCAGCAAAAATTTTTCTCTGCAATGATGATATGTAAAAACAATTTTTTTTTGAGACAGAGTTTCACTCTGTTACCCAAGATAGGATGGGACTACAGGCGCATCCTCTACACCATGCTAATTTTTGTATTTTTAGTGGAGATTGGGGTTTCACCATGTTGGCCAGGCTAATCTTGAACTCGTGACCTCAAGTGATCTGCCTGCCTTGGCCTCCCAAAGTGCTGGAATTACAGGTGGTAAGCGACTGTGCCCAGCAGAGATGTAAAAATTGTTAAAGCCATTGAATTAAATTAATTGCTAACATTATGAGCTTTGATAATATAATTCCTACTTTAATGACTCAAAAAAAAACCCAAGATGCCTATATATCTAATAATTTATGTTTTAATTACTCCTTTTCTTCGTTATCTCACAAACTATAATCCAATAGTTTGGGACATGTGAAAGAGAAAGTAAACAATCACAAGAATTACCTTGCTTCGAGAATTCACCTTTGTAGAAAAAATAATATATTTGGGCACTTGTTAAAAGAATTAACAGAATAAGTCTTTTTTTGTCACAGGGACATTTAATTTATGGTATAGTAGGAATTTTATATCAAAAACAGTAAGAAAAGTAAAGTAATGGTTGATATAGCAATATGTCATCAACCAAATACTATAATGATAAAAACATTGCAAGAAGCTATAGCCAGAACTGAGTGGTCTGCTTCCACTTAATGCTAATGAGCCCAGTCCTAGCACACATTTGATTTGGTAGAAACTACAGGAGGTAGCATGGTTCATTAGGCTTTCAAAGCTTTAAAATGTTTAAGAGGGTGGTTTTCCTCCTTCATTTCAAGTGGATTGCTAAAAGCATTGGGCTATTCCTTGATGGAACTTTGAATTTGCCAGTTTCTTCATTAATTTTGACCTTTTTATATTCAAAAAAGTTAACTCTATACTAAGCTACAGCAGACTTAGACATCCTACAGTTCCGAATTGTGATTAAACAAGTATCAAAGCACATGGAATTTCTCAAGAAAATTTTGGGTTATCTTAGAAAAAGGACTTATAAAATATTTGTTGAAGACCATAATATGCTAAAAGTTAGGAACAAAATTCTCCTGATTGTTCATATGTAGTAAGATCCACAGAACTCTTACATAGTTTTCTAAGTAGTTTCATAAATGTGGATTGTGGTTGCCCTGAAACTTGACATCTACCTACCAAATACTTGACAAGTGACCTGGCAAAAATGTGTTCAATAGCTCATTTTTGACATTTTCCTTAAGAAATCATTGCCAGAGATTTGAAACTGCTTCAAGCTGTTGTCTTTTTCAAAACAAAACACATATTCACACACAAATACAAAATCGCATTGCTCTCAGTGATCTGGAAAATAAGCTTGCAAGCTGGCCATGTGGTATTCTGAATAATTTTTTTAGAGGAGAAGAAATTACAACAGTGCAACCAACAGTTTCTGTTAAGTTTTATTTGCTAAGACTTTAGCATAAGGAACATTTTGTGATTTAATTAATCAGAAGAAAACACCTGCTTTAAATACTGACATGGAGAAAAGCATATTTTTAAAATATTTGGAATAAAATTAATTTCTCATAATATGTTTTCCTTGTTGATAAGCAACTAATTATGCTTTGGAATGTCTTACTATCTAATAACTTTAAATGTTGACAAGGAGAAAGATGAGGTTTTGCTTTGTTTTTTAATTCTGAATAAGCCATTTTTCCTGGAAACATACATATTTTTAATTTATAGATAAGCTAGTATGTGTGTTCAGAATTCCTGTTCTCTTATTATTCAGTTATCAAAATGTATTAACAAAGCTTTTATGGTTTTATGATAGACAATTAGATATCTTTCATCAGGTAACATAAAAACTTGTATAATGGTATATTAGTCAATTTTCACACTGCTGATAAAGACATACCCAAGACTGGGCAATTTACAAAAGAAACAGGTTTATTGGACTTACAGTTCCACCTGTCTGGGGAAGCCTCACCATGGTGGAAGGTGAAAGGCACATCTCACATGGCAGCAGACAAGAGAAGAGAGCTTGTGCAGATAACTGCCCCCTCCCCTTGTAAAACCATCAGATCTCATGAGACCCATTCACCATCACAAGAATGGCAAGGGAAAGACCTGCCCCCATGATTCTATTACCTCCAACCAAGTCCTTCCCACAGTATGTGGGAATTCAAAATGAGATTTGTGTAGGGACACAACCAAACCATATCATTCCACTTCTGGTCACTCCCAAATCTCTTGTCCTCAAATTTCAAAACCAATCATGCTTTCCAACAGTCCCCTAAAGTCTTAACTCATTTCAGCACTAACTCAAATTCTACAGTCTAAGGTCTCATCCAAGACAAGGC